TGATTTGTATTAGAAGCCTTTACAAAGTCTCTCCATTTTTTTTCGTAAAATACCCTGCCAAAAAATTACTGCAAATACGGCACCCTAACTATTGGTTTCTTTTTTATTTTGCACTATTTTAGTTGCTTTAATTTTTTAATGGAAAAAGTTCTCACAAACGAAAACTTATGCTAAGCCTTGGAAAGGTTCTAAAGCTTAAATTATAAAATAACTTTTAAAACTTATAAAAGATGAACTAACAAATTCAAAATATAGTCAAAATTTCAAAATAAATGGCAGTTTCAAAATATGTCGAAATTGTTTAGGCTAAAAATCATAACTTAGTTTCAAAATGTGTCATCAGCCTGAGCCACTTTGGATTTGAATAAATTATGTTGCAAAGACAGTTTTGTGTGTTTCAAACTGACCAACCAAGTGTTAATATCAACCAAGGCTAATCTTTGCCACTTAATATTTTTCCAGGAAAAGATTTGCATAAAAAGTTAGTTGTGTTTCAATTTTTGAAGTTTTGTTGGGAAACAAAGAATATGATTGATACTTGAGCTTTCACATTTTTTAAAAAGTAAAAAGAAAGTCATTAAAAAATGCATCTTATCGTTTTTTATAAAAGGAGATACAATAAAAATAGTATTAGTCCTATTTTAACATTATTAGAACCCTAGTCATCTGTCCGCAAGCGTGTATACGAAATTTGTGAGTCAGAGTGGAACAAAATTAAAACAAACAATTATTGTTGTGAAATTGTTTTCAAAACATTATTAATTTGACTTACTAGTACCAATTTGTTTAAATGCTTGCATTTCAAACCCCAACCCCGCCAACTTTTTTACATTACTATAAAAATGCACATATTTCCTCTTGGTCAGCTAATCCTTTTTAGGGAAGTTATTAGGCAAGGTGCCAACAAAATTAAATTTTGGCCCGAATAGACTTCCGTTGGTTTTAAAACAAAGGCTTGAAACATCATATGTATTATACAAACTTTTTTAATACTTAAATGTATTTATCTTAAGTTTAAAGTTTTGTTAATTAATAGAGCTAATTGTGCTAGTTTTAGCACAATTAGCCTTTCTTTTCGTTAAGGAGCTCGTCGTATTTTGGATTAAATTTTGAGAAGAGTTTTATTTTAAATCGTTCTTTGTTATTCCACAACACTGTCAAACGCCATGCCCTAAAGCATTTACAAACATCCAAAACATGTACGTAATTGTCTGGCACAGCACGAAAAGTGCATGTTGTTGTCCATGTTTCGAAGTCAGGGCCCCGAATTCGGAGAACTCACACCGTAATCAGTTATTTTTTGCGCATAAATCTAGTTTTTGGATTTGCCTCTCTCTCTCTTTGAAACATTCCCTGAAACATTCCACAAAGACTTTGGTCCCTTATTTAAGCATCTCTTCCGTCTTGAAAGAAAGTGTTTTCAATAAACAGTGGGCAACTTTCGTTTCAAGCGGAAAAACAATCATTTCTAAACAGTATTAAGAATTGGAAAAGGTCAATGAGGTTTGATAGAAGTAAAATAAGTTTTTAAATTATCTTTAAAATCTTTATTACAAATAAAAAACAAAAAAAAGCCTAATAAACAAGATAAGCCCTGCATGCACCTAACAAATATTTAGCTATGTATAAAACTTCATGCTTGTTAAAAGTGCACAACGTCCTATTGCGAAAAAGCTCAATGTTTGTTATTCAGAGATCAGGAACGCTCTTCCTTGAAACTTTATCTAATTATGTTATTTCCTCCAAAAACAGTTGGGACTTGTTTACAAGTTAGACTACTTTTCCGATATATTTTTTATTTTCTAACATCATTTGCACTGTTAGAAACATTATTGTCTGGGACACTGGAAATAGAATTGAGAGAAAAACAAATTTGGCAAGACGTTCCATTCCAAAAAAGCACGTAGAAAATGCAGAAAGTTGTTATAAAAAGACGTTACAAACATATGCAAACAATAAAAAAGATATAATAATAAACTACAAGTATACTAATTGTTCTAGATTGAACAGCTTCTCTTGATAGAGACTACTGTTAATGTTGGTTTGTGTAACGTGTAGCACATGAATTTGCAAGGTTTGAAAGCAGATGATGGACGCATCTACAATATAAAAATGTTACCATTTTAATTTTTAACAATTTAATTTTCTACAAAATAACTACAGTACTACGTACACAAACCACAATAACAAGGTCATCACATACAGAAACAATTTTTGCAAAAGAAATATTTAAGACTAACTTCTAACCTTACGTAGAATTCATTTCAATTATACGTTAGCACATTTTTACGTTACGTTGCTGCATTTAACAAATCCATAGTATTGATTTTGAATTTGTTGCTCTTTACCACGCCGACTGTACTAGCCTCAAACGCAGTAAATTACATAATATACAATTATCACCCAGTACAGTGCTAAAAATTCGTACCAAAGGCTAATAACCGCTTAAAAAGTAATTTGTTTTTATATAAAAAATTTTATTTTCTGTGTTAATTACAACTAAAGCGAGTGAGTGAAGAAAAGTCTTATTTACTCGATTGTGTATTACAAACAGGAACATTGAGAAAATAATTTCGCAGGCTGTCAACAATACCAAGCCGAGCCAGCCGTATTCATTATAATTATTAATGCAAGGTGGTGTCTCCCGTAATGAGCGCTGTAAATAGTCAAATGTGCCAATTTTGTAAATAATCGGAGAGTGGGAAGGGCCCTGTGGGTTACAGCATATATTTGCATGTTATGGTAGTATGTACCCATGCTGAGACAGCAAGCAGTTATGTGTTCTGTGTGTCATCAAGGTAAGTATTGCGTAGTTAATGCGGAAAGCATTTTGTTATAACGTACTCTTCGTTAGCGCAATTTATGATGTGCAAATTCCTCTAATAAATTAGCTTGTCAGAAATTATCGTCCTTAATTACTATCTGAATCAAATTTTAATAGTATTTGTTAAACAGCGTGCATGAAAAAATTAATCTTTTGGACTTAAAAATACCGTACAAAGCTCATATGATCGAGACTTCTTCAAAATACGATATTACAAATTCCTTGCAGCCTTACAACAAAACTTTGTAGCTTTACAACAAACTAATTAATCGTTACACATCTTATTGCTTTATACTATTTTTATCTTTGAAAACTACAAAACTAGTCTTACTTAACAAGCGTAGTGGGTAAGTTAATTATACTGTAAATTATCTTCACGTTTTACTTTTGTAATCTACATTTGCTCTTCAACTCAAATTTAATTTTATTACAGTCTAAACGTAAACACAAGTTTGGTTGCTATGCACACCGTCTGGCCACAAAAACAGTAACCATCGCTGTAACAATTACGTACCACTGTTTACTGGCGTCAGTTATTCGAGTTTTTACACTGTCGGCCAGGTGTGCCCATTAAAAAATGTTTTTTGAATTGGTATTTATGTAAGTTTTCTTTTATGTGTTTGTGAAAAGGTAGATAAATTTAGTTTGCTTAACAATTAAAATTTGTTTTTTTTGTTAGACACTATCAATTAGTTATATGACAATACAAACAAGGAAACTATTTTAAGACTTTTTTGGTTAAAACCGTTCCACTTGATCCGTAAGACAGAATTACACTAAACAAAATTGACTATATTAAAGGACCACAAAACGTCTTAGAAAATCGTTGGTGTTCCAAAAAAGCGAGGGGGGGGATCGACCTACCTGATGTTTGGCACAAAACTCCATTTCCGAGTACGTTTTATGGTCCTTTAAGTAGTTACCGTGTGCAAAGAAATGAGATAAATTCATAAAAATTAAGGGGTTGACTAAAGTTATTTTAGATAGTTTGACTGTACCTTTATTTACGAATGGTACCAGTTTTTTTACACTGCTTCAACGATAATAACCAGATTCTAAATACAAAATTTTTCTACCTATTTAACTATTACTAATTATGCCTATCAAGACGTTACTAATATTACATTACAACAACAAGTACTACAACTACGATTTTTTTCAGTATTTGTTATATTCTTGAACGGCGATCACACGGGCTACAGTCGTAAAGATACACTCGTATTTTCAACGGCATTTTTAAAGACCCGGTGTTCGCTTGTTTGAGAACATAAAGAATACTGAAGGCTAAACTTCCATTTAATTCAACACAAATTATTAGAATTACCTACCTCTATTGCTTTTCGTTGCTGCTTTTATAGGTTTTAAAAGGAGGTGATGTCTGCATTAGCGTTTGGTGTTATCTGAAATGTTTCAATGTTATTAAGTATTTTACCTTTATAATCTTAGTTTTTTTTTTAAATTTTAAGATTTGAGAATTTTATCGGTACCCTAATACACCAACTAACTTTTTTAATGAAATTTTGCAAAGGTTAAAAAAAGGTTACTACAACAATAAAACAATGTCACTACTTAAAGTTTGCAACTTCTTGTGTATTATATTTTTCAAAATTTAATAAATAGTTCAATAAATAACGTACTTAATTTTTTTGTTTTGGGGCAATTTTGACGACACATTTGTATTATTGCGTACTATTGATGATGGCTGTCGAAAACAGCCTAATTGAGATTCTAAATATTGACTATTTAAAGATTTTGTACGCTTCATTGTTATATTCTTTTTAACAATAAAACTCAAAACTATACCTATATTAAGCATTTTGTCGATAAAACCATCTGTTGTAGTGGAACATGGCAATATTAGCTTGCACGCAGGACGATTGTAACTTCTTACCAATTCATCCCGTTGTTTTTACACGACTATTTGATATCTTGCTTACCTCCTTTGACGTGTTTTACCTTTGTAAATTGATTTTAACAGTATTGTGAAAAGTCATACTGTACATTACACTTGTAGTAATTTACTGTATACTAACCTTATCGTACTTTGTATTAAGCTTACCGTACAGTATAAAACTCAACGTAATTTATGTATTTTGTAATACAACCTTATCGTACTGTAAACTTTTTATGGGTTTTTATACGCTTGACCTTATCGTACTCAGTAACCACCTTACCTTCAAATACTTATGGCAACCGTAACATTACCTCCTTTTAATCGCATGGCTTCACTTTGCAAATCATCTTCTTCCATTGGTATATCTTCAATTTTAACTGTTTCTCCATTTGTATCTTCTAGTTCATGAAGTTGTGTGTTAAGAACTCGTCTCTTTTCGACCAGTATACATTTGGGACATTGACAGTTAATAAAGGCACATTCGCATTTGTGGTTCTTGCGCGGCTCCAAACGTCCATGATTAAGACAACGCTGACAGTAGTAGACACGTTTGTTTACACCTAAAAGTGTGAAGTGACAAATGCTACCATTGGCTCCTTTCTACTGTACTTTCGTTACTATTTTTACGTTTTACTGTAGGTTACAAGAAAATTAATTATAAAAACCGTATTTGAATTTTTCAGACAAGTTATTGTAAGTAATTTTACTAGATTGAATTATAAACAATACAAATTTGGTACAATATATTATAATAAAAATTTTTCCTATTTATGTTAAAACATACCACTTATTTTACTCGCCAGTTGATTCACATTCAACGAGCTTAAAGCGCTGACTGGGTTGAACATGTTCATCATTGTACTATATACAATAACGGTTAAGTTAAATCTTTATTTGCAAAGTTTTGGTCAACTTTTTATAATTAGTTTTTGCCTGTTAATATCTAAAATGACAAAATTAATGTTTGTTGAACTTCGAAACATTTTATTTAGAAATCACGCTAAAAATTACGGCAAAATGTAAATATCAAAAACAAAAACAGTACGACATTACATAGTTCACTAAAGACGGAAAAAATCGAGTACAGAAAAATTTTTATTGTAAAACGCACCACTTTCAGCATAATTAAATGAACACTAAATACGTACTCGATGAATTTAATGGACTAGCTGCACAAACCGCTGTGCACTTTTGTTTGCACTATTTTGTTATTTTTGTCATATGGCTTTTAGAATGTATACGTGTAGTAAATTCGTACATGTTCACGATTATTTGTCTTTAAGGCTACGGTATTAATAAGTAACTGTCACATAACAAATCTAATTACAGATACGGTAATAATAAGCGTGTCAAGGTCGCAAAAAGCATTTGAAATAATATTTTTAAATAATGTAGTCCGCGGACATATTGAATCTTAAAAACCAAAATTTTAAAAAATGGCGAAATGATTCAAATCAGTGCTTTTTGATGACAAAGCCATTGATCGTTCTTCTTACAATGACTAGCCAAATACGGTAATAAGACCGCGGCTTCTTTTGTTACTAACAGTCTCATTTTTCGCATCGAATCAAGAAAACCATTTTCAAGACAAAATTATGGATTTCAAAACGTTTTGAGCAAAATTATCTTTTACCCTGCAAGTAGGGATACTTATATTATACTTTAAATAGTATTTATTTAACTTATTGTAAGCAATATGACAGCGCACATTAGACGTTCAAGCTACCTGTATATCCGTTCTCTTCACGGTTAACCCTGTAAAACAATTATACAAACACTAAATACATATAAAATATACGTTTCTCTACAGTAGTCGAAGAAAAAGCAATTACAACAAGCCGTTTGTCATTGGATGAATACAATCAAAGACTGTCAATTAACTTAAAATGAAAAACAATAATAACTTGCGACATGCACTCCTATATACAACTACAAAAAAAATAAATTTTGAAATACGTTTTACAATGTCAGTCTGTAACAACTACGCTAGAAACTTTTTGAGAAATTTAAAGATTAATGCAAATATGGTAAACATAATACAGTACATCGTACAAGAGACAAAAAATCAGTAGAATATAACACCTACAACCTTACAAAATTTTTAAAAAAAATTCTTCTAGCTGCAAAAGGGCAAATAGGGTATATCAATTTGTGGCAAAAAAAGTGCATTAGGCATAAAAAACAAGAGTTACAGCAGCAAATGAATAGTTATGTATAAATTAGACTCATAAAGGCAGATTAACACTTTGTAAATATTTTTAAAAAACGCGGCGTAAATAAGAGCATTACAGTGTAAAACTATAAATGTATATATAAAAAATAAAAAACCCGCTTTTCAACAATTGATTGTGCTATTCTAAGTTATATTAAACCCTAACCTGCATTTTGCAAACTATTATTATCCTTAGTATACTGTATCCAATAAATATTCCGTAATTTAATTTCTCATTTTATTATTCAGTTATTCAAATACAGTGCTTACTAATGTTGTTTACATGTCACTTTTACAATATATAGAGTCTGTGTTACACTTTGTTCGTATTTATTGTTCAGTGGTTCTTAGAGTGCAACAAGCGAAATTAAATTCGTTTTGCCATGCTGCTTTTTAGCACGTTTTTGTTGCGCACTGAATGTGTGGGAAAATACAGTACCTTATAAAGATTTTATAGCAAGAGAAAGAGTATGTTTAAAAAAACGCGTTACAAAAAATCACCACTCCAAAATCATACAGTTGTGTTAATACAGGAAAAACATACAGTATCATGCTTAAGAATTCGTCATGCCAAAGAGCCCAAAATAGAAATCGTTTAAAGTATTAGCATTACTTAAGGAAAAGTCGAGTACATTCTCGGATAATTCGCAAAAACAACATTAACATATAAAATACAGTAGCATTAAAATACGTATATGCGTACCTGAACGGTGGGTGCCCTTTTGCTATTGTAACATAGTTCGTTTTGGAGCACCGGCAGTGTTGAAAAAAAGCCGTGGAAAAAAGCATTGCCGAACGTTTTTGCTCAACGTTCTCGGCGCGTATTTTTTGTTACAGATTGCACTTTTTGGCAATTCTTTTTTTTTGCACTTTTGTTTTCGTCCGGTTTTTAATTCTAAAAAAAGACACGTGGATGTAAAGACATTAACACAATAGTACTTAAGGGTCGAAATTTTAGACTAATATTTGCAGAAAAAGGAGAAAGAATAAATGTTTTTCAAAATTAAAAAAAAAATTTGCGTACCTGCATTTCTAAGACACTTCACGCTTACGAAGCTTTGTGACAAATCCCAAACCCAAAATCATGTATTTGTCACTAATAACACAAAAAAATTAATCTTAAATATTTACCTACAAAAACATTCCATCACTCATTTACAAGTTACAATTATAATTGAGCAAAAGTGCACATTTTTTGGTTTTTATTGTAAAATTTAAAAGTAATGCTTTATTGAAAATTACTTTATTCATTTTGTACTATGATAAAATAAAGTGCAATATGCATGATGTTTTGTCAAACTATATACCCATTATCGCAGCATTTTGAACATAAAATTATATTGTGCATATGATATAAAAATATTGTAATCCATGAATTGATAAGAAAACATCAAACTTTATATAATGAAATTATAACAAAATAACTCTTTTCTTAAAAATCATCAAAAAAAGTTAGTCCTTCACAACTACTTCCCAACTTTTGTTTAAAATCGCTAAACCAACTTGTTCCCCCAGCCAGCTTGCACTATGATTCAAGGTCGAGTACGTGTGGCTCACAGTGATTTGTTATTCCTTTCAAGAAAATTTCTTAATGTCACATTCGCCGAGAAAAATTGGTACAGTGTGTATGCGTCTCTTGTTTTCACTTTTTTTCAAAAACATTTTCGATGTTTCAACCAATCAGCGTAAAATGCAACTGTACTTTTGAAGCGTTCACGTTAAAGAGAAAAAAGGAAACACCAAACTCCCCTCCCTACCCCTCACAATGTAGCAAAGTCTTACTGTTACCTTACCGTACTGACCTAGCCGTTTTAAGAATATGCATAATTTATAACCGCCCGTTTCATTCTTTCAATTCGGTGATATTTACCACCCCAAAAATGCTAAACGAACAGCTCATCTTCCTAGTCTAATTAGAATATCCTGCCTATTCTTTGCGATTTTCGGGAAATGATTCGAGGAAACACTGACTCAGGCTATTATTAATATACGCTGCTTTACTTATAGTGTGACTGCTTAAGATACTGTTAAGGCCACAATTTGTTACAATGTAGTCAATTTGACATTTATTACTTACTAAAGACCAATTTTTCGCCTTTAAACAAAGTTTTGACGTCTTGTTTTTCGAAATTCTTCGCCAAGTATCATAATGTTGAAAGTAATGTGTTTTTCAATCGCTTTCAACTTCACAAATGTGTCAAGTGAAAGAAAAACGTAACATAGTCAAAACAATCGATATACGTCGGAAGCGGTAAACAAAATCAACGCAAAAACAAAAATCAACTGCCGACAAAACGTGTTCACGACAATAACAGGGGAATCGAAAGTGGTGGATATCTGAAATAGTTGAAAGCTACGATTGACATAAAATACAAAAAAAGAAGTTTATACGTTTATAAAAGTTTCCAAAATGGTCACATGACAACTTTTGAAATAACGGCAATAAGCTTAAAAACAACCTTTGTTCCCCAGCCAGGGCCGGGCGCGAGGAGGGGGGGGACGAGGGGGAGGTACCCCCCCCTTAGAAAAAAAATTTTTTTGAAAAAAGTTGAACGTGTTCCCCCCTGTGGATTTTCGGAAAAAAAAATTTCGCAAAAAATCTTAAACCCCCTGCCCCCGGACCAAAAGTCCCCGCCCGGCCCCGTCCCCAATCGAAAATTTTTTAAAAAATTTTTTAACATTGAAAAAATGCGACGTACTCACCTATCAATCGTCAAACGTTAAAAAAATAATTCCTGGCCGTAAAATATATCATGTACTTATGAAATACCCCCCCCCCCTCTTATTCGCTTTCACCCCTTCCACGTAATTTTATCGTTCTGCCGTTATAAAACGTCTGAATCGTTACCTAAAAACTTCCTCAATAGCCCTTCAATACTTTCGCTTTAAATTCTACCGTAACCCCAAAACCTTTTCAGACATAAAAACAATTCTCGCCAGCCGTTTTTTTTTTGATACCGATTGCTACGATAAAGAGACAATTTTGAAAGAAAAAAACGTGAAAACAAAAAAATGTTGAGGGGTGGGATCAGGGGTCGCGGCGAATCACGAAGGGACGTGTTTTTGAAAACAGTCAAACTTAAAAACGACTGTGAAACAAAGAAAGGAAAGGAGAACGAGGTAGAAGAGAGTAGCGACGGTCAGACGAAATAAAAATGTAAAATCTAATATATTTAAATTTTTTTTGTAAATCAGCCTTTCATATAAGGAAAATCATAAGATGTCTGATACATCACAATTATTTCAATTTTTTGTGGTTTCTTCTCCCGGTCAGAGTCGACACCATGTATCATATTTTGTTATTGCGTTGTGTCTGATTTTTTTCGAAAATTGAATAAATAAATGTCAATTGAACACAACAGCCGCAGTCTATGTATCATTAAATAACAAAAAGGACATCAACGTGAAAAATAAAACAAAAAGTGAAAACACAAAGTAAAACGATCGGGGAAGCCTTGTACTTAATGTCTACGCCTAACGGATGATTTTTAAAAAACAGTAGTAGCAATACATTATTTTTAAATTTGTGTCGTATCTAAAGGCCACATGTTATACTGAACCTAAAGACAATAAAGAATTTAGTTTTAAAGTCAATAGATACTGTATACAAAGAAAAATATATTTTTAAAAGTATTAAGCTTTTAT